TGAAAGCGACTGAAGCGGCAGCAGGTGACGTCCTACCCTTTGTGTTGACGGTGGCGATGCATTTGGTGGTGCGCACGTCCCAGATCCGGATGGTTTTGTCTCCGGACGCTGTGACGAACAGGTCCGGGTTGGTGGGGTGCCAGCAGAGCTGATCCACGCTGTCGCTGTGGCCTCTGTAGTTGTTCTCCTTCACCTGCACACAGGAAAACTCAGCTTTAACCATCGAAATGCAGCTTTTTCTTCTCATCTCACAGACTTTAAATGGTTCAGTGTCAGTTTTACTAAACTTTTACCTTTTTAGATGATTGTCTGAACAACATTCAGCTGGTTTAACAGATAAAAATTAAACCATATCTTTCTGCTTTTAATGCTGTGAGACTTGGAATATCCCATTTAACATAAAACCTACTTAATTTGTTAATAACAGACAGTATTTTATATATTTACTCATATTAAGTACAGTAAATGATAGCAGAATGGTTAAGTTCGTGTTGAAGTTGAAAACAGAACCAGAGGAGTTGAAACTCATTCATTTTCTGACGGAACCACCGGGCCCGGGACCCACCAGACGGTCCTTTTCCAGGACAAAAACGCTGGCTGTTTTATCAAACGAGCCGGACGCGAGTCTCCTGCCGTCGCAGCTCCAGGCCACCGAGTGGACCTTGGCGGTGTGAGCCGGGAACTCCCGGCTTTTGCTGTTGTTTTTGAAGCTTTCCTGCATCTCCTGGTAGTACCGGGACGACATCTTGGACGCTGCTTCTCGGCCGGATGTTGACGCAGCGTCGGGAGCATGCGCGTTACCGCCACCTGCTGGTTGGAGTCAGGCGCATGCGCATTACCACTTTCAGTCTTTTCCAGTGGATTAAGCTGCATTTAATTTACGCCGTTGTCGGAATATTTGTGTTCCAACTTGGTAAGTAAATCCCATCGTTAGTGAACATAATGCTACATAATTTTGCATAGAACACAATAAAATACATTTTTATCGAGTTATTTTGCTGCTAGCCTCACCGGAAGTGGAAAAAGTTGTTTTTCTCAGATTGAATCTCCGATTTTCGAGGTTCATTGAATGCAGCATTTATTTATTGTTTAGTTCCGCTTCTGTTAGAGTTGTTAATACATTAATACATTAAGTCAACTGGCAAACACAGCTAACTAGATCTGACAATAAATGTACAAGCTTTTTTGTTTATTATAATATAATATTGGTATTCTTAATTATTATTATTAGTCATGCCGGGACCAAGTAGACGCGGACAGAGAAAAGACTCGTGTGATGAGAACTCTGACAGTTTAGAGGAAATAAAAAAATCACTTAACTTTATGAGTAGTGAAATTACAAAATTATTCAAACAGCAAGAACTCATGATAGGTCTGATGGATGAGGTGAAGCAGCTACGAGTCTTGTTAAGTGACAGAGATAAAAAAAAAAATAGGTGAACTGGAACAAAAAGTTAACGATCTGGAACAATATACTAGACGTGATGATCTAGTCATCTCAGGACTTGAATTACAACCCAGGTCATATGCAAAAGCAGTGGCAAATGTACACACTACTGAGGATTCTCCACAGGAAGATCTGAGGACTCAGGAACAGCAGGTTGTGACATTTCTGCAGGACAAGAACATTGAAATCAGACACGAGGACATTTCCATTTGTCACACTTTACCAAATAGAGCAGATAAACTTAAACCAGCAATAGTTATTAGATTCATCAGTAGAAAAGCAAGAAACAACGTAATTGTGCAAGCAAGAAAACTGAAGGGTACAAACGTCTACATAAATGAACATTTAACAAAAAAAAATGGAGTTATCGCACGGGAGGCAAGGTTACTCAAAAAACAGAAAAAAATAGCTTCAACATGGACCCGTAATGGAATCATTTGGATTAAAATAAATGAAGGAACACAGGCAAAAATGGTTAAAGAACTCAAAGATCTGGAAACATTCAAATGAACTAAAGAAGGTTAAACCATTAACTTACATAACTGAAATAACATTGGTAAAAATGAAGTAAAAATATAATAACGTGAAATATACTCAAATATGACAACAAATGAAGATTCAGATATAAAGGTTTACAATTTGGACAATGTAGTTAATTCTGATTTCTTTCCTATAGTTAAAGACTCTGAATATTTTAATGTAGAACAATTCCAGAATATCAATACAACACATGGTTTTTCTATCATCCACTTCAATAGTAGAAGTGTGAATGCAAGTTTATTTAAAATAACAGAATATTTACAACAGTTAAACAAAACGTTCTCAATAATAGCGCTTACAGAGACATGGCTTAATGATTCAAATTTAGATAATATTTATATCGAGGGGTATGAGTTATATTATCAAAATAGGAGCAACAAAAGGGGTGGTGGTGTTGCTCTTCTAGTTAATAAAGAAATAACATGTAAAATCAATAATAAAATGACATTGACTATAGATAATAT